TAACCGACCATAGACATGTGAATTCTCATAGTGTGATTTGCGCGCGTGAATGTTATAATCCTGGATTTATTGACGTCTTTTTCAGGTTGAGAAGACCATGTAAATGTCGTATTATATTCCCTTCCTAAAATTGACATCTTTCGAATTTATTATTCCAGTATTCACTAAGCTTATTTCACGCAGTGTTTCATGTTTCACGTTTTCTCCTTTAAAAGTATGTTCTGGGTGATTTTGCTGCATTAATAATTCACTTCTTTGTCTTTTCATATTTACATCTGGAACATGGTAGCAGTTGGTGCTTAGATTATTCATGCCCATAGCATGCTGCATTTCAATATGCTTCGTCACTGACTCAGGACAAACAATCCTTACCTTCTACTCATACTGCCTGATTTTCAAAGCTGACATTTAGCTTCATGTTCCTCTTAATTGTTGAAATGATGGTGTTATTGTGTGGTATATGTTATAGTGAAAATAAATAACAATAATCATCTTCTCTCTTCTTGAATACCAAATGGCAGATATGGCTAATATTAAGGGTATAAGAAGATTCATCTTTGTTTAAGGTAACATAAATTGCACAGAACCTCAAAGTAATGTTCCTTACCAGTTTGATTATTTGCATTTCTGGTCTAACATTTTCACCTCTGGTTTTGAAAATAAGCCACCCTAATCTCAAAGTTCTTCAATATTAATATGCTCGAAAAGTACTTACTAAAACAGTTGTGAGTGTTGTGATGGTGATCATCACTGTCACCAATGGCTTCATAGTTATGACGATGAGACGATTGCGTACTGCAAAACATATAATCCATATAAATGCTTCAAGGGAATTGTTGGATGATAAGATCTGGGTATCTAGATGAACTATGTAAATCAATTCTTTAATCACTTGCGTTATGCAAAACATGGCACAACAGAAGAGGAAGCTCTACCCAAGCAAAATAACTGCTGGGATATTCTATTACAGGTCAATTGGTTTTCTTTTCTTGTAATAGTGGTAGGAACATGAATACTTCTAAGGCTTTGACATTTCGTTCTACATACTGTGTAAGGGAAACCGTTCTTCTTGTCAGGAGGTGTCATCAAGACCATTTGTTTTTATGGAGATTCCATGTTATCCGACAAACGTTGAATAAGAAGCATAGAAAAACACTCAACTTTGAAAGGCGGACAATGACTTTCATCTCAAACACAAGGTGGTTATTTAAGTTACTCTGTAGTCGAAGATGGATTCACACCCTACTTTTTAAACCTCAATACTATAGTTAAGTGTCATGGTGATATTTTCATCTTCATACACGAATATCATTGATCCTTCTCTCAACCAAGATTACTCATATTGACTTTGTCCTTTCGAGTATACTGACGTTGGAAATGTTTCCTAAGGGAAAGATAAAATATTGTCCTGTTTTTGCGGAGAGGAGTCCAATAATATGCTTCATCTTTAAATATGTTAACCTACTTCCAATTTTTGTGTGTGTAACCATGGCTATTGCGTAATTGATTTGCCTTCTTCTTCTTCAAGGAGTATTTGTTGGACATATGATAGATCGATACAAATTCTCATGGTCAGTTGAAACCGATGCGACTTGACAAATATGAATTCAGTGAAACATTGTTATTGACAGTCGTTTGAAAAATCTGTGACAGGGAATATCAGCTGAAATAAGTCTGTAACTATGTGGCAATCCTTCCTACATAAATAAGAAAACTCCGCTAAAAGCAGAGTTGATTGTACGTCATTCTGATTATATCACGATCTTGTGTTTATGAGGTTAGATGAAATGGGGTTTAACCTCACGTCCAAGATTATTGCACTTATTTAGAGACGTGCATGCATGTTTATGTATGTGGCTGCTTGTACTAGTTGGGACTAAAGACGATTTCATAGTGCTTGCCCACTGAGATACCATATCACAGTTTAACATGAATACCCAACTCAGACACAGTATACTGACTCAGAACCGACCAGTCCCTAATGCCGAGTGCCAGGCGGGTAACAAGTACCATCTCTTAATGTCTTTTGGTATGACGCGGCCGGAGATCGAACTCCCGACCTTCTCCGGGCGGATGCTCTACCACTAGACCACAGAGGCGGTCTCTTGTGTTTATGAATCACCACCAAATAGTGATGATACCTGGTGTTCGCGAAAAGGTGAGCGTATCCTTCCCCACCGGTGGCATCCGTCACAACCACATGCAAAGTCAAGTCAATTGTTCATCCGGAAAAACATGGGAACATATGGTACAAGGCAAATTAGTTTCTGGTCAAGTCATTAAAAGTGATGCTGATTCAACATGAGAAAACCGCTTTGGTCGGCCCTGCGTGATGCACGTAAAAATATTCCCTAAGCATTTCCTGGACATCTAGCAAGGTTAGGAAATACAATTCATATAGCATCAGCACGAGCAAAAGTTTCAATGACCTCAATCATACTTGCCTATGTTGGTGGTACTTGTATGAGCAGGCATACATTTGTTTCTTTGTGTTCACTTCTTACAACGAAACGCTGCCTAATCACACGTCCGTTCAGTGTATAGAATAGCGCACTGCATAAAAGACATAATCGAATTAGCTAGAAGTCAGTAATATTAGCTGGTGGTAGTAATTGCTTTTGTTCATTCTGGTGCAATCCTTCCATTTAGCCAAAGCAGAAGACTAGATTCCTCAGCATTCGATGGGGACTTTGCTGGTTAGAATCAATTTGAAAGCCAGTGACAGAACAAAAAAGACAAATGAACCGTGGTTTAAAGCAATGTTAATTCCATGTCACCCGCCTGTCATGGATGGATAATCACCATTCCCCTTAGCTTGCTTCATCCTTTTAGAAGATAATGAAATCTAAGCATGAACAACACTAAAAGACCGTTTATGTCTTAAAGCCCATAGTTTTTTGTCAGTCAACATGATAGCGAAAGATAATCTTTCTGAGGTGTACAGAATACAGGTGCGGAACAAAGAAGAAAGAAACATTAATATATTTGAGTCCAAGTTTTATTTGAACATGTATGTAAATAACCTTACATATGTGCAGAAAACTAGCAAGACTACAAGGTGTTTTGTGAAAGCTTTGCAAAGACCCTGTTGTGTTGTAACCCTGATCAACTAACCTTTCTGCAAGAGTCGTATGACGCTCTTAGAAATCTTTGTTTAAAGAGCATACTCGATTGTGAAATGTAGACCAAAGGCTTGAGCTGCTGGAGTATTGCTCAACATAAACGGAAAGTTGACATTAGAAAGTTGAAGTCATCCCCCTTGTCAAACAGTCTTCCGGATAGTTTTTTTGTCACTGTGAGTCTTTATTCATAATCTAAATCAACAACTATATTTCTATCTCACTTGTGTAAGTCAGTGGAAGGGAAGTGTCTTTTTCACCATTATTGGGCGCTATATCAGAATATCGATATACCTGAAGCGTAAGTTAAACTTCTTGGCCAAATTCCCTTAATTTCATCTTTGGCAATCCGAGCAGAAATCATGACGCGAATGGTTATAGAAAAAAAACGGAAGAGAGGGGAGCACAATTTGCGCCCATCAGGATGCCTAGCATTTCACAAATTAAGTAAGTGAATTTATGGATGTCAACTTCTTTATCATGAGTAGCACGACGTTTCAGAGTATATGCTTACTCCTTCGTCAGGTGAATTCATTTATACATAAATTCTCTTCCTCATTGGTATCACTTCTAATTGCCTTTCAAAGACCTGATTTCACAAATTGTTTTCTCAGTGAAACTTCAGATGACATTTACTTTCATATTTGACAATTGTCCTGAACCTTTGAACTCATTAATTGTACAATATTTCCTCTGTGAAGCTATGTATTCCGTCCAGGCAAGTGCTGAACTGATGACATTTGCAATTCAGAACTTTACATAATTTTTTATAGTGTTTGTGTTTCTCAACAAATAACAAGTTCATATTGCAGAGTATGTCTCATAAACCATTTCTTGATGAAACTTGTAAGCATACCAGATGCTATACATCATACCAACCTGCGATTCTGTGTTATGATATGTCGTCAGCTTTAGGTGCAGGTTTGTGAGGCGACCAGATAGATCCCATGCTCAGACTTCGTGATTTGGTTGAATGTGTGACATCATACCCTGACAGAGTGGGACTTTGCTTTGATTTCCAAGAGTATCATAAAACTCTTGCTAGGAAGTTGTTTGATCAAGGGTACAACATTCAAGGCCTCAGTAAAAGCTTTAAAAACGTTTTATGGAAGACATGTTGAGGACATTTCAAAATTTGACGCATCAGTGACAAAAATGATGTCCGATGCAATTCCCATTTTGACTTGTACCATATGTTCCTATTTTATTTTCAGGTGAACAGTTGACTTGCCTTTGCATGCGTTTGTGACGGGTCCCACCGGTGGTATCATTACTAATTGATAGTGATTCATAAACACATGATCATGATATAGTCGGAATTGTACTATCGACTCTCCTTTATGCAGAGATTTCTTTTGCAATGGAAAGGTTTGGTCGCTTTATTTATATTTATATTATTATTAATTATTGCGATGCAGTGTAAATTTAAAAAGCAAATAAAGCATCATACATCGATTCAGCATATTAAGTTTAACCTCTTTGCTGTTGTTATGAAATGTATATGCAACATTGCTCCCAATCGTCTACATATTGAAAAATAGTACCACTGGTCAGGCTCTATGACTTGGTTGATGCATGTCAAATTATCCCAATCGTTTGAATCGATGCTCATAACGTCAATCACTGGATTGTCTGGTCCAGACTCGATTATTTACAGACTGCCGTCATATGGCTAGAATATTGCAGAGTCTGGCGTTAAACAAAAAAACCAAACAAAAACAACAACAACAACTAATTCACGTCATTGGAAGATATTGAAAAAAGGGGAATCATTTGATTTAGTCTTATGAATCATAATGTCAGTTGTACTTTTTCTGTATTTTGGAAACTGTAAAACAGTACCAACTGGAAAATGGTTTACATGTGATGACAACAAATGAATCAAGAGTATATGTTTTATTTATTGCATCAAATTGATAAATAGAAAGTAAAGAGCTTGCATGTCCAAACTGGAGTGACAACACGAATGAGAGCTCATGAACACATTTACAATATACATGATAAATATAAAACACTTTAGAGTATAAATACTGAGGTTTATTTGCTCTTTGGTTTTAACAATATACAACAAAATATTGGAAAACACGAAACACACGATCTAAGCTTGAGAAATTAAATGTCCTCTATCATACAGTAATAAACTAACTGATTAATTATTCTTGGACAAATGAGTAGACACTGAAGCTACCAGATAGTTGTGCGCAGTGGTAATACGATTGGATGACGCAGTATCTCAAAAGAATAGATGCTGACGATATTGATATATAGTGAACAGTCTTGGAATGACCATGGTGTACAGTGAATTCCCGTTCATGAGGACGGTACCGTCCTGAATGAGATCGTCCGGGGTAACATGTTTTCGGTTTAAAGAATGATTGCTAAGGAGCAATGTTCTTTCTACATATCCTTGAGTATGACAGTTTGTGACGCGAAGTATTAGGCGACCATTATATCGCAGACGCGAAAGTGATTTTTTTGTCATATGTGATCATTCAAATTTGTGATTAATTATAATAACCAAACAGATTTAATTTCTGTCACCTCCAAAGCAACCGACTATTAAAACTACGAGATTTATGGATAAAATGGCACATTGTGCTTAAAATTTCGGTTTTAAGAAATATATATCTACAGCCGTTGTCAAAATGTAAAGAAAAACATTTTTTCCGTAGTAGCACTATCTAAGTTGGTTATTTGCATTCCTTGGTCGTACAAAATGCGACGCACCAGATAGAAACGTACTTGTTGTTTTCAAACACTTAATAAATGGATTTTATAGGTTTTAGAACATCATTTCCAGTTCATGGCAAATAATCACCTATTCGAATACTGTTTTTAGTGAGAGTGATCTGTGAAGTTTTTGAATCATACGACCTATTATGTGGACGTAAAGTAACCTTGATAGACGTCACAAATGCACGAGGAATCATCACGTCAGGTCACGAACACGGGTGACTCGACAATAATCGGCCATAAAGGACTAAAAGGTCTGGATTAACGACGTTTCACTGTTTGTTGTTTAGGAAGGGAATCTTTAGCTGTTATTAACATACACTTTTACATTAGAAACGTCCGCTAGCCTTCACCAATACATTAGTGCAATTCATATTCATATTTTATAACATGCCATCAGGATGTATTGCAAAAAACTGAAAACGTCGAATTTAATTTAAGGGGAAATCTTATTAAAAATGATTATACATATTTATCTACCAAAGTCACAAGTTTCCAAACAGTGTATGTGTTTATCATAGATTCCTTAGGATCTTTAAACCATCTAACATGGAGTCGAAACCTATGGAATGTCAGACAAACGACCTTCCATGTGTCAAAACACAGTTAAGTCAAAAATTTAAAAGTTGGCGTCACGAATGAAGCAAAAGGCATGCCGGAAGTCGGTGTACGTTTCCATGGCGACGAATACTCTTCACCTGGACTGCATCATCAATACGAACTCTACAAACAAAAAGTATATTTATCAATAATGCAACGGTAGACTACGGGAACGTAATTATGTAGGGATACTGTAAAGGCCATTCTGTCCAAATGTCGCAATCTCGCAAATCGTACAAGAATAGCATAAACATGCAGATTGCCGAAACAGCAGAACGTCATCACGTGACATACACTGCAGGATAACGTATCGTCATTTCCATCTACAGGACGACGTACCGCCATATCCAGCCTCAGGACAACGTACCGCCATATCCAGCCTCAGGACAACATACCGCCATATCCAGCCTCAGGACAACGTACCGCCATATCCAGCCTCAGGACAACGTACCGCCATATCCGGCCTCAGGACAACGTACCGCAATATCCAGCCTCAGGACAACATACCGCCATATCCAGCCTCAGGACAACGTACCGCCATATCCAGCCTCAGGACAACGTACCGCCATATCCAGCCTCAGGACAACGTACCGCCATATCCAGCCTCAGGACAACGTACCGCCATATTCAAACTCAGAACAACATACCGCCATATCCAGCCTCAGGACAACGTACCGCCATATCCAGCCTCAGGACAACGTACCGCCATATCCAGCCTCAGGACAACGTACCGCCATATCCAAACTCAGAACAACGTACCGCCATATCCAGCCTCAGGACAACGTACCGCCATATCCAGCCTCAGGACAACGTACCGCCATATCCAAACTCAGAACAACGTACCGCCATATCCAAACTCAGAACAACATACCGCTATATCCAGCCTCAGGACAACATACTGCCATATCCAGCCTCAGGACAACGTACCGCCATATCCAAACTCAGAACAACATACCGCTATATCCAGCCTCAGGACAACATACCGCCATATCCAGCCTCAGGACAACATACCGCTATATCCAGCCTCAGGACAACGAACCGCCACATCCTACCAGTAGTGTACCCAAACTAATCCCTCTATTGTTTTACGCCTGACTGGGTTTGTTGTTTTAAGAAATGTTGGGAAACCGGGGGCACCCCCATCCAAACAATAACACCCGAGCCACCTACGTAGCTACAGAAAAAAAGTACTGTCTTAGCCAACTGTAGGACAATGCATCGTCATAATAAACCACCAGACACTGTACCAACGTCGCCAACCACAGGACAACGTAGCATGGGTTGCTGAAGACATATTCTACCCCGGATCTTCATGCTCGTCGTAAAAGGCGACTAACGGGATCAGGCTCGCTGACTTGTTTGATGCATGTCATCGGTCCCAATTGCGTGGATCGATGTTCATGATGTCAATTACTGGATTGTCTTGTCCAGACTCGACCGCCGTCATATAACTGAAATATTGCTGAGTGCGGCGTAAAACAACAAATCATCCAAACCAACCAAACCAACCAACATGCAGCCACCAGACCACCGTAGCAAACCACAAGACAACGTACCGTCATATCCAACTACACGGTAACATACCATCATAGCTGATCTTCTCATCGTTGTTCTTGTCGGCTTCTAGGATCATCACCCTGATCTCGTCGTCCGTCAGCTTCTCCCCCAAAGCCTTCATCACCTGCTTCAGTTCCTTAGCGTCGATGTAGCCGTCGCCATCTTGATCGAAAATCTTGAACGTCACCTTCATCTCTGGCTCCATTTGCGACTTCGACGTTTTCGTCATCACGGCTACGAACTCGTCGAACTCAATGGTGCCGTTCTCTGCACACATAATTATCATAAAGCTGAACTACAGATGAAATAAAGAAAACATACATTAATGATGTTTGTACATGATCAGAGCATGAATATGATCAATTTACATAATCGACCAACAAAGCTAAACATTAAGTATGAAAATAGATCTACGTTGATGTGAAGGTTAATCCACATGTCCAGGTTACGATCGTGATCTTCTCTCCCAAAACGTTGGGGATAATGAATTATAGATGCCATGATAGGTCGTCAGAAGAAAGATCAGCTTTGAAATAACTGCCAGATATGGAAAATTTTTGAGAACCAAAACTTAATGCACCACCACAACCGGAACATTGCATGTGTTTCCATTCAGTTCCTTTAATTATGCACGTGGGTAGGGGGTTGTTCTTCATTTTGACACTAAAGTGAAAGGTCGTCAAATAGCTCTGGCCCTTTGACATTGTCAATTATAATTAAACTCTCCACTCTTGCTTTAATGCAGAATCTGTGATAACAATGGGAATGCATCGTCTGCAGCGTGATGAACGCCTGAATGCTATTGGCATGCTTTTGAAACCAGTGAGAGGCAGCCAATATTTTCAATGTATCTCACTCTGTAAACTTTTGAACAGGTTTCTGCAGACAAAATGTTCATGATTACACAAAGAGCCCTAGGTCAACAACACAAATCCAGGATCGATTAAACCAGAAACCAGAGTTTAAGAAATCATGCCCAAACAACCACTCATCACTGTCAACTTGCAGCAAGCCTCCGGAATTCAACTTACTGAGCAGACGATTATCACTCGTCTACATGCAACTAACCTGCATGTTAGGCAACCACGTGCATGTAGTACCACCGTTAACAAATCGACACATTCTCGCCCGACGCTAATGTTGTTTAGAGCCTAGAAACTGGGGGAATCACAAATGTTCTCGTGTCATGTTTTCAGATGAGTCCAGATTCACTCTGGACTTTCTGGATAGTCGTGGACGTGTCTGGATGCATCCAAAGAAATTTCACGCGAAAGTCAACGTACGGAAACATGGCAGATGTGGGGGTGGATCTTTAATGATACTTGGCGGGATCACTTCGGCTGCCAGAACGCCAATGCATGTTGTCCAGGGATGGATCACTGGACAGTATTTTCAAGACGAAAACGCTCGTGTCCTCTGTGCACGTGTCATGACATACCACAAATAGAGAACATCACCTGAATGCAATGGCCAACATGTCAGGAACATGATTGGGAGATGTGTACCCCAGCGTCAAAATCCCCCGATAAGATAGTCAAGCTGTGCCAGGCGAAGAGAAGTGGGAAAGACTCCCTCAAACTGTCATTGGTAAATTGATTCGGGCCGTCCAAGGTCATCTCAAACGTTAACCTTTTAACAACACACTAATACAATATACATGTTCTGTTGATTGGCCTGTTGTGCCTAGTCCATATCCATCCATTATCACCACTTGATGTAATTCTATAAGCATCTGGTATTAAGGAGATAAACCTACTGTGTTTTGAAATTTTATGCTGGTACATCATGATTGCCAATAAAAGTGGAGTATGACTGAACAGCCGGTTTTTATGAGGGATGGATTTTATGAGGGATAGATTGATGTTTTATGACCTGTCAGTTTTAAGATTTCACGGCATTCAACGCCAGCATGTGTAAGAAAAGTGACAGCTGTGGCCCTGGCAAAGGGGTTCGTTAATGTTTTGCTTAATTGTGGTGTTCTAAAATGGATTTCATCATGTTTGAAAAGCTGTTGTGATCAAGTTCCTGTGCTGTGACTTCAGTGATGTTGGGACATCTGTTTGTGCTTCATATGTTTAAAAGAGGTTTCAGTAGGAAAAGGGATACCTCTTTTTATCCAATCAGGAGCAAGCACAGAATGCTAGAATATTGACTATCCCCTTTTTGCACAGTATATATTCTTATGTCACCATTTACGATCAACATAGAAGCTTTTCTTAATAGACCGTTGATACAACACTCACGTCCTTGATCATCCAGTGTATAACAGCTCTGTTCTATTGTGATAAAGACCCCTTTCCATTCGTTTTCATAACTTTGTATTGTGTCCAATTCGAATGACACTACGCTAAAATAGCCAACCAATCAAATTACAGGAAATAAATTCCATGTGTTTTCATAACATTTCGTTGGCTGACCAAACATTTCTATTTAGGGCATACCTCCTGAGGGACAACTGTTTTTGGATTGGCTGGTAATAGAGTGCTGTTTGTTTTGCGTTTTGCACTGAACGATGCCACTTATTTTGATTTTGTATCGTTGTGTACAGATTTCAATGTATTAATGATTAAATAATCAGTTTATGAAATTAAGTATTGACATATATATTTACATGAATTGACTTCAATACTGTTGGAGTTTATGGAGATATAAACGTAAAAAAACGGTGTGCACATGTTACACTACTGCCTAGAAGTTCATTCCCCTTACACGCATGGGCAACGCGTTACGCAACCAGTGTGCATCGGGTTGGTCACGCGTGTGATACCCGTGTGCAACGCGTTGCACACGGGTGTGCACCCCGTCCGCCACTCGTGTGCAACGCGTGACACACTCATTAGAGGGGGAACAAACTTTTGACCAAAGGAGGACCCGTCTTAAGCTGACCCTGGAGGTGGTAACAAGGAGAGAAAATTTTGTTATCCTGACGAAAAATGATAATACACATGTATTTGCTAATGTCTCCTTTCTTTATGTGATTTTGTGGGAATAACATGAATACTGTTGTGTTTAAATAGATCTGTCTTGTTTTATACGACCATTGCTTCTAAATCCGATGGTGTTAAGAGAATACATGGTCCTGGAACATGTTATTGCAATTGAAATGCTTTTATTGTGATTTGACATTAACCGTCTGTAGTACGACTTTCAGTGATAATATGTATGAGGTTTGGCGGCGCATTGTTTTTATTGGACCCTAATTACTTTATGATGACTTGGACTCTTTATCTCAGCTCCATAGCAGTGAGGCTGGGAAAGAGCAGCATGTAATTAATGAGGGTGGGTTATATCATTGGAGAGAATACTAATTACCGTACTACAGGAAGAGACCTGTAGACGTAAGCGCGGGGTTGTGTTTTAGCTGGCCGTTCGATAATGGCCGCCAGGAGAAGTGAGCTTTGACTGCGTCATCTAAAATAAATAGTAAGAAACAGCAGTGTTATTTTCACGGGTCTGTTGAATAAACTCCCAGCGCTACGGTCAATGTACCTTCTACTTGATCCTTGATACATCATTTTGGCATTCACAATATATAGTAATTCAACGTACAAAGGAGCACTGATCTAAAGCAATTCCGCGGGAGTAGTTGTTACCTGTGCATTACTGTATTTTCCCAGTGAGTACCCGGATGATATAGCAGAAATCTAGACTTGTTCGCGACCTGTGCTCGCCATTCGTAAGCGCATTTTTATTGAAAGGAGAAGGACGTATGGTCACATTGATCAACAAAAATGAAATACAGTTTTGGAAATGTAGGTATATTTGTGGGGAGCATCGGTAATGGTGATGCAGTTTTGGTAAGTCACTTGCTTGGTAATTGTGCGATCTTTGTGTACACTATTTTGACTTGCAACACAAAGTAAATATTTCATCTGAACATTGCTTATTTTACCGTGTGTATATGTTTACATTCAAAATGTAAACATATTTCACTAAGGAAATTTATTAAACGCCTAAATATTCAGTTTATTTTACAAATTAACTGAAAAATATGTCCATCTTTATTAATATGATAACGAATTCCAAAAATTTGTTTATGTTTAATATCATCACCAAGTACAGTACTGTATTGTTGGGCTTCTTTTCTTAGCATAATTAATATATTGTGATGTGTTTAAGCTCTTTTGATCGTCTTTATCATTTTTAGCCTCTCGGTTAAATAAATGAATGGATTATTCAGTCAATTTGTAAAATGACTGAAATATTTAGATATTTAATAAATTGCCTGAGTGAATCATATTTTACACATTGACTGTAACATATACACGCTTACAAAAGAAAATACTTGTGAAAACAACGTCTATCGCGCATCGAAAAACTTCCCAAACAAACGGAAAGGAACAAGAATGATTCTGTTCAAAGCTGCAGCGAATGAATGAAAACAAAATGCAAATATAATTATTACAACCTACCAAAGTTATAATGTATCCGGGAATATCAACATAAAGGAACAATATCCATTGCGTCTGCAGCTGTACAAAAATACTTATTCGATGTCAAATGTCTATGTGAGAATCAAATACTTTAATAATAATTATTTGGAAACAATATTTGGAATATATATGAAATATATTAAAATATTTAAATATATCGTTTTACACGTTATTTAAATGTATCGAATATTATAACCCGTGTTTGTTTCTTAGCTGATCACTTAGTTTGTTTCAATTGTTTCACATAGCTGCCAAGTTAGCTGAGAAAGCCCACGTGACAACTATTTTTATAATGTCCTCGGTTCTTAAAAACATACATTGAGTTAGATAACAATGAACAACCAGTCAGTGTATTATCGGTTACCCTTTGAACAAAGTACGTTGTTTTTACATCTGTACTTCACGCCATGATATGAGTGTATTGCCTAGGTTTAGTAAACCTACCTTCACATGTAAACACTTACTTTTGACATATCCACTGTGCAAGATAACAGTAATTAATCAATCAACGTATTTCCTGTTGATCCTTTGATGTCTGGGAATGATCAGTTGATTTACAAAAAAAGTAAAGCAACTGACCATACATCTCTTGCTGGGCTGCCACGCGCGTATCACATAACTCACATTCCACCTCACTTCAAACCTGGATTTAGATTGAATAATTACCCCAGGTACAAGAAAGACCAAATTTGAACCTTTATAATCTGAGTGGTGCTACAACTAAGTATACATGTTATAAATTCATTAACTGAGCAGCAAGTGAATTACGACAAATACACAAGTGTAGGGTTATACCAGAAAATGTGGATGACAACAAGGGAGTAGTAATTGTAT